ATGCATAAACCACAACTACATATTGTACAAACTTGTCTTATACATACAGGTGCATCTCAATAAATTAGAATGTCATGGAAAAGTTCATTTATTTCAGTAATTCAACTCAAATTGTGAAACTCGTGTATTAAATAAATTCAATGCACACAGACTGAAGTAGTTTAAGTCTTTGGTTCTTTTAATTGTGAGGATTTTGGCTCACATTTAACAAAATTCAAAATGGCTGAAGGTATAACAGCAGTAGACTATTAGGCTATTAACAATAAATGTTCTGTAAAAACAACAGCAGCTTTCAGCCTGTCACCATGATGCAAACATGAAATATCAGACATACAGTAGTAGTTCTTTACAGGTTTTTTTTATTCGATTGCGCTGCTTTTCCATAGATTTTTTCAGTGTAAACATGGATGTGTTTGACTGTTGTGCTCGCGTCTCTTGCAGCATCTCATGCATGAAACGCCATTCTAAAAACACTGCGCTCAAGTTAAAAGAAGTTCACTCCCATCTTCTTGCATGTTTTACCTATTCCACTGCCTGCGTCGCATCTTTGTCAACACAAAAGTGCATTCTGTGTGAATGAATGGTGCTTAGCGCTATATTTATGGTCCTTCACAGAGCACGTCACACGTGAGCGGTTAATCACGTGCGCCGACATCCGGTTGGATCGTTCTTTTCTCTTTACTGTTATCACCGGCATATTGTCAAAGTGTCTAATTCTAACATATGGTAATATTTCTATTCAAAATCGCGGTTCCTCGGTTTCTAAAAAATTTAATTGTGGCAAACATTAAATTCAAATTAATCTATAAAATCGGGAAAATCGCTCAGCCCTAGCTTAGAGTTACTTGCATGTAATTATGCATAATTTATTGTTATTATAATAATGTGTAACAAGGACACCGTAAAATAAAGTGTTACCAAAAATGCTTTTGGTAATCGGAATAAAGCTGAAATAAAATTAAATTTCAGCTTTATGTCAGTTACCAAAAGCATTTTTAATCATTTTAATTTGAACAATAACAAAACAATATTAATTATGATACTGTTATAGAGAAAACTAACTAATATGATTTCTGTCTTCAATCAAAGTTGTCAGTGTAATATTTTAACTGGTATATTAAGATAATAACGTAATGCAGTGCATTGTAGGAATGTCCCAGAATGTGTTTGCTTTGAATGCTGGTTTGAAGTTGTGCTTCAAACGAGGGAAGACAAAAGCAAGATAATGGAAAAGTGATTTTCAGTAAGTCGACACAGAGGAAGCCTGTATTCCCCCTCAATATTTCAATAGCCCATCACCTTCAGACAGTCAAGCACCTTTGTGAGCATGTCTGGTCTCAGAACTCCAGCCAAACCTCTCGCTTAGCCTCCAGCCATCCAGTTCACATAAAACATGACCGCTACTCGACACATCGACCAAACGGATTATCCCGACCGCGCCGGCAGAGCGCTCAGCATTCACTGCAACCTGTGCTCGCCTCACGCAAAACCCTTCATTTCAAAGAGGCCTTATCAACACTAACACTGCCCCGATTCACACAACACACTCAAAACACACACACACACACACACACGCAGAGGAGTCCCTACCCCCCGTCTCTGGCCAATCCCCAGCAATTACAGACCCTCTTTCAGATAAAGCAGATTACGCTTCAGTGTCCATTAGGGCCATCATTAGCTTAATGAAAAGTCAATAGCAGTCAGAAAAAGGTACCACTGTATTGAAAAGGGTTTAAGGTCAGTTTACCCCCTCTTATTTATTTGACAATGAAGTCACATGACAACCACAAAAATGAATTCCATGAATTGACTGGTCAGGGTTTTTATTATTATTAGTAGTAGTAGTAGTAGTAGTAGTCGTAGTAGTATTTATTTATTTTTTAACTGTTGTTTTAAAGCCAACATGTAATACAATTTTACTTTATTAGAATTTTCCCTATTTAATTGTAGCATTATTATGCACATTATTCTAAATTAAAATGTTTGTTTTCATGAGCTTTCCTAAAATCGAATTACTTCCACCATCTCTGAAATGATTTTCCTTTTCTAATAATATGAACAAGGCCGTGTGAGTGGGGGAAAATAGCATTAAGCAATATTATCATGCTGTAGAAAAGATAAATCACTTTTAATATAGTTTAATATCTCAACTATTTCTGCAAAAATAATGGTCCTTTGTCGGCTTCCAAATAGTGTTTTTTTCCAGTCCACAAAAAGGTTCACTGAAGAGGAACAAGGTTTCTTAGAATAATTTAAGAACATTTAAGAATAATTTAAGAATATACAGGTGCATCTCAAAAAATTGGAATGTTGTGATTTTTTTTTTATTTATATATATTTCAAAAAGTGAAACTTTCATATATTCTAGATTCATTACATGTAAAGTAAAATATTTCAAAAGTGTTTTTTGTTTGTTTGTTTTAAAAACAAGCTTACAGCTATAAATCCAGTATCTCAAAATATTAGAATATTTCCTAAGATCAATCAACAAAAAAAAAAGGATTTGCAAAACAGAAAAGTTCAAGTTCTTTCAAGTATGTTAATTTATGCACTCAATACTTGGTCGGGGGCTCCACAAATGACAGCATCAGTGAGGTGTGGCATGGAAGCGATCAGCCTGTGGCACTGCTGAGGCACTATTGAAGCACAGGTTTCTTTAATAATGGCCTTCAGCTCGTCTGTATTGTTGAATAGACCGTTTCTCATCTTTCTCTTGAACCTATCCCATAGATTCCATATGGGGTTCAGGTCAAGCATGTTGGCTGGCCAATCAAGCACAGTAATATCATGGTCAGCAAAGCACTCGGAAGTGGTTTTGGCACTGTGGGCAGGTGCTAAAATCCTGCTGGAAAAGGAAATCAGCATCTCAATAAAGCTTGGCAGCAGATGAAAGCATAAAGTGCTCCAAAATCTCCTGGTAGATGTCTGCATTGACTTTGGACTTGATAAAACACAATGGAGCGACACCAGCAGATGTCACGGCACCCCAAATCATCACTGACTTCGGAAACTTCACACTGGACTTCAATCAGCTTGGATTCTGTGCCTTTCCAGTCTTCCTCCAGACTCCAGACCTTGATTTCCAAATGAAATGCAAAACTTACTTTTATCAGAAAAGAGGACTTTGGACCACTGAGCAACAGTCCAGTTATTTTTGTCCATAGCCCAGGTAAGATGCTTCTGACGTTGTTTCTGTTTCAGAAGTGGCTTGGTAGCCCTTTTTCTGAAGACGTCTGAGCGTGGTGACTCTAGATGCACTGACTCCAGCTTCAGTCCACTCCTTGTGAATCTCTCCCAAGTGTTTCGGAATCGGCTTTGTTTGACAGTATTCTCAAGCTTGCAATCCCTGTTGCTTGTGCACCTTTTCCTACCCAATTTCTTCCTTCCAGTCAACTTTGGATTAATATGCTTTGATACAGCACTCTGTGAATAGCCACCGCTTTCAGTAATGACCTTCTGTCACTTACCCTCTTTGTGGAGGGTGTCAATGATTGTCTTCTGGTTCATTGCCAAGTCTTCCCCATTATTGTAGTTTCAAAGAACAAGAGATACCCAGAATTTATTCTGAAGGGACAGATACTGGATACTGGATTTTTGACTTTCATGAGCTGTAAGCCCTAATCATCAAAAAAAACTAAAAACTTTTGAAATATTTTTCTTTACATGTAATGAATCTAGAACGTATGAAAGTTTCACTTTTTGAAATAAGTTACAAAAAAATAAAAAATTCACGATATTCACATTTTTTTGAGATGCACCTATATACAGTGGGTACGGAAAGTTTTTTTTTTGGAAACCCCAAAATCTTAAGGTATAAACTCAAATATATCCCATCACATTTTCTCAACCCCTTGTGAAAAAGAAGTACACTTCAGCATACTAAATATATTACAGAAACATAATTTTGAATAATTTTAAATGTTAGTGTAAACTAAATGTAATGTTTTCAGGCACTTAATCAATTGATTGAATATTCATTCCATTAAATTGAATTTCAGTAGGACTTAAATGCATTTCATACATATTTTCATAACTTACTCTATTGTCTTTGATATATGGTTAGCATGTAATGTTAAATGTACTGACAAGCATCTATGATAAACTGCAATACACTTATATATGAATAAAATATAAGTATATAACAAATTCTATTTAAACATGTATGTCTTTATTTAAATATATTTGTAATTACATATTTGTTATGATGAAGCTGCAGCTTTGTCCAATCAAAATGGATCATTTACATTATATTATGAATTACATAAATTGTAAATTATTATAATCAGGTACTTTAAATATGCTACAGTATATTAGTCAATACATCAAAATAAGTACTGTAAAATAAGCGTAAAAATATATATTAAAACATAAGGATTAAAAATGTACTTGAAAGTAAAATTTTTAATTTGATATTATTACCAAGTGCACTTTTTGGAAGTGTACATAAGCGTGCGAAGAATTATGAAAGTGTTTGTCTTTAAATAAGCTTAAGTGTCTTTTATTTTATTTTATTTTAATTTAATTTAATTAATATTATGCAGTATCTGCAAGTCCAGTTTATTATTATACTTTACAGGTACACTAGAAAGGAACACTACAAATGTACATCCAGTACAATTAAATGCACTTCCTTTTCACAGGGGCCACCAAATGATCATTTGAGCTCCATTCTTATTTTTCACCTAAGGAATCTGAAATATTAAACAAAACACAAGTAAAACTACATTAAGTCTCATTATGGACTACGAAAGACTACGTCTGCAAATACAGTTTATGTTTAAAATAGACACTTTTCCTGATCCAGCCAAATCCAAAGATCAAATGAAGCCCCATCCTAAATTATTTCCAGCTAGATATTTAGTTTCACTCTTAAATGTGTCGCATTACATAAATTAAATGATTTGCAAATGCCATTTTAAGTTCTTGCGGACAGCATGAACTTTGTCCTGTTAAGCTTTAGCATGTAATAGGAACAATTCCAGAGGGACGGATCTACTCACCGGCCTGGTTGGTGGTGACATTGAGTGAGACGTATTGCCTCAAAGGGGCGGTTCGTTCCGACACCCCGTTCACAGCCTCCACCTCAAAGGTGTAGTTGGTGTGAGCCAGGAGATCCATGACCATGACGGAGGTGGTCTTTGGTGGTTCATAAAATGCAAGTAAATGTCCACCAGCACGTCCAAAAAAGTATATCAAGGAACACAAAATTAATACATGTGGCTCCTGACGATGTATTGAGGTCTTACGAAGCGAAACGATCAGTCTGTGCAAGAAACTGAACATTATATACAACATCAGGCAATGGGGAAATCCAATTATTTTTGGATTATCTTGGTCCGATATGGTGAACTGGTTCAACTAGTTCACCAAAAAGAACCGGTTCAAAAGAATTTGGTTCAAATGATTCAAATCATTCCGCACCATTTGCCCTACAGGTAATAATGCTGTAAATAATGTTCAGTTTCTTGCACAGACCAGTCTTTTCGCTTCATAAGATCTCAATATATCATCAGGAGCCACAGGGATTCATTTTGTGTTTTTGACTCTCAAAGTGCTGGTTGCCTTGCACTTTATGAATCACCAAGGACCACACTTTCAGTTAAAAACTGCTCTACTTAAAAACAAAAAAACAAAAATCATATTGGATGGCCTGAAAGTGAGAAAAATAACAGCAAATTTAAATTTCTGGGTGAACTATCCCTTTAATAGAAGCAGTTCTTACTTGTGCAGGCCATGTTGGTGGGGTCCGATTCGATCCGGTAGTATCCCTGCTCACACTGACAGGAGGTGGATGCCTCCACTTTGGTGAAACTTCTGGGAGGACATTTACTGCAGCTTTTGGTCTGAAGAGCTGATCGGTAAAAGCCCGGCTTGCACACTGCAGAGATATCAAGCACAATAGGGAGGTGATTACATTACTAATGCCATCGATCAGTGCCTTTGTACTGCTTGTTCAGAGCTGATGAGAAAATTTAGTCATTAAAGTCAAACATGCAACAACTTCATTAAAAAGAGCAGGTGCTTATTTCAATAGAGAGCTGATGCTTTGAACACACAGGGATTAATGAATAGCCTACTTTCTGTTCCTGGCTATCGACCCAAAATCATGGGAAACATTTCCTTTTTTATAATGTTACATAATTATAATAATTAGCATCTGTTTATTTTAAATGTTAATCTTATTGATGTGCAAGGCAAACGGGTGGAAAGGAAATATGTGTGTACAGGACTGTTCAGAATTTTGGTGTTGTATTATTATTTTATGTTAGTTTATTTTATATTTAATTGTATTGTTTTATTTTATATTTTATTTTACTCAAAAATACAGTGTAGCGAATCAGCTCATGGGGAAATATGAATAATTAATCATAACTAGTTATAATTAATTATAAATATTTAGATCCGCTGTAGATATTTACTTGACCTCTCAGGGTCAACTGTCTGTCAATTCTAAGAACGTTAATTTCCTGGTTAAGGAAACAATTCTTACTGTACAATTCTACACAGAGCTTGTAGCATAAATCTGCATGATTAAGTGACTCCAGTTATGAGCAAACAATGAACAACGTCAAGTGTGATACAAATAAGACTTTATTAACTACATACAGTAATCACTTAAACTAGTCTAACATACTACATAAACATTCTGTTAATTTTCTCATCCCCAGCCCATCCAAGATGTTTTTTTTTCTTTAGTAGAGCAAAGATGATTTTTAGTTGAAACCATGGTCTTTGGTGGTTCATAAAATGCAAGTAAATGTCCACCAGCACGTCCAAAAAAGTATATCAAGGAACACAAAATTAATACATGTGGCTCCTGACGATGTATTGAGGTCTTACGAAGCGAAACGATCAGTCTGTGCAAGAAACTGAACATTATATACAACATCAGGCAATGGGGAAATCCAATTATTTTTGGATTATCTTGGTCCGATATGGTGAACTGGTTCAACTAGTTCACCAAAAAGAACCGGTTCAAAAGAATTTGGTTCAAATGATTCAAATCATTCCGCACCATTTGCCCTACAGGTAATAATGCTGTAAATAATGTTCAGTTTCTTGCACAGACCAGTCTTTTCGCTTCATAAGATCTCAATATATCATCAGGAGCCACAGGGATTCATTTTGTGTTTTTGACTCTCAAAGTGCTGGTTGCCTTGCACTTTATGAATCACCAAGGACCACACTTTCAGTTAAAAACTGCTCTACTTAAAAACAAAAAAACAAAAATCATATTGGATGGCCTGCAAGTGAGAAAAATAACAGCAAATTTAAATTTCTGGGTGAACTATCCCTTTAATAGAAGCAGTTCTTACTTGTGCAGGCCATGTTGGTGGGGTCCGATTCGATCCGGTAGTATCCCTGCTCACACTGACAGGAGGTGGATGCCTCCACTTTGGTGAAACTTCTGGGAGGACATTTACTGCAGCTTTTGGTCTGAAGAGCTGATCGGTAAAAGCCCGGCTTGCACACTGCAGAGATATCAAGCACAATAGGGAGGTGATTACATTACTAATGCCATCGATCAGTGCCTTTGTACTGCTTGTTCAGAGCTGATGAGAAAATTTAGTCATTAAAGTCAAACATGCAACAACTTCATTAAAAAGAGCAGGTGCTTATTTCAATAGAGAGCTGATGCTTTGAACACACAGGGATTAATGAATAGCCTACTTTCTGTTCCTGGCTATCGACCCAAAATCATGGGAAACATTTCCTTTTTTATAATGTTACATAATTATAATAATTAGCATCTGTTTATTTTAAATGTTAATCTTATTGATGTGCAAGGCAAACGGGTGGAAAGGAAATATGTGTGTACAGGACTGTTCAGAATTTTGGTGTTGTATTATTATTTTATGTTAGTTTATTTTATATTTAATTGTATTGTTTTATTTTATATTTTATTTTACTCAAAAATACAGTGTAGCGAATCAGCTCATGGGGAAATATGAATAATTAATCATAACTAGTTATAATTAATTATAAATATTTAGATCCGCTGTAGATATTTACTTGACCTCTCAGGGTCAACTGTCTGTCAATTCTAAGAACGTTCATTTCCTGGTTAAGGGAAATAACTTTCTTACTGTACAATTCTACAAAAGCTTGTAGCATAAATCTGCATGATTAAGTGACTCCAGTTATGAGCAAACAATGAACCACGTCAAGTGTGATACAAATAAGACTTTATTAACTACATACAGTAATCACTTAAACTAGTCTAACATACTACATAAACACTTAAACTGGTCTAACATACACACACACACACACACACACACACGCATACAGTTATGGGGACCAGGGGGGCCTGGTGTCGTTGCAGACATCCTGGCACCCAGTTTATTGGGTTAGGGGACTATGACGATTTGTTAATCTCATGAATAACTGATTTGTTAAATCAAATGAACAATTGTGTTTTTGATTGGTCCAGACGCTACAACAGTAAAAACAGCAATATTGTGAAATATTATTATAATTTAAAATAACTGTTTTCCATTTAAATATATAATAAAATGTAGTATTTTCCTCTGAGGTAAAGCTGAATTTTCAGCATCATTACTTCAATCTCAGTGTCACATGCAAATGTAATCTTTGTAACATTATGAATGTATTTACTGTAACTTTTGATCAATTTAACGCATCTTTCCTGAATAAAGTATAAATTTATTTAAAACTGACCCAAACTTTTAAATTGTAGTATATATTAATGAATAGAGATGGTTAGCAGAATGTTCATGCTGCTCTTTTCCATGCAATGAAAGCGCATTGGGACTGGGGAAAAAATAAAATAAAATAAAATAAAATAAAATAAAATAAAATAAAATAAAATAAAATAAAATAAAATAAAATAAAATAAAATAAAATAAAATAAAATAAAATAAAATAAAATAAAATAAAATAAAATAAAATAAAATAAAATAAAATAAAATAAAATAAAATAAAATAAAAGTGAACTGGGACTGGGGAAATTTAAATAAAATAAAAGTTTAAGCCAATAAAGCAATATATATATATATACAGTGGGTACAGAAAGTATTCAGACCCCCTTAAATTTTTCACTCTTTGTTATATTGCAGCCATTTGCTAAAATCATTTAAGTTAATTTTTTTCCTCATTTGTAAACTTTTTATATATACGCACATACAAATGCGTTATAACAGGTTTGGCATCCGACGAAAAGGATTTGAGAGTTACTGTATGGTGGAAGGCAATTACTTAATTTTTAGTATGTTCCTCAATCAAAGTTACTAAAGTATCATATGAGTGAGTGAGACTGTCATTTTTTATTTTTTATTTTTTAATTTTCGGAGCTTTCTTTTTTTTCCAGTGAAACAGCAGTCTGAACATGTTGCTAAACTTCTCCATATGGCTTCAGAATGGCACGAGGCTAAGTAAACAATAACATAAGTTGTATTTTTTAGGTGAACTGTTCCTTCAAAAACAATGTTATGTATAAATCTTCAGACATTCACCCATCAAACACCACACTCATCCAGCCTCTTACACAGCAACATTCCCAGAAAGCATGAAAACCACAATTTACAGTGTTACACCCACAAGTGGGACAAATGGATTCAGTATATTTGGGTTTTGCAATGCTTCTCCATTCAGGACAGGTGCTTATGCACAGCAGACACCCTGTCAGCGCAAAATACATTTAGATAATGCATTGCCATGGAGAGAGTGAGAGAGAGAGAGAGAGAGAGAGAGAGAGAGAGATTATCAATGGCCGCGGCAGTCCAAAGTGCACACAAAGACATTAATTAAAGCCTCCCTGGTGTGCATGAAGAGGCAGACAGCAGAGGTGCGCTGTGAATTCAACCCAACTCTGAGCCACGGCGAGAACAAGCCGAGCTGAAAGAGGTGGCTAATGCAGAATAATATGATATATAATATCATTCAGCATTTAACTATTATTAATGGGCCATATTCAGCTCATTTGCAGTATCTTATGCTTTTCCCTGAAGTCCACTTCAGTGCAACAAAACAGTTGTAGTTTCGCTACTTTGCCTTAAAAGTCAACACGAAATCAAAAGTAAGCCTATTTGCTTTTTAATACCCATTCCATCTCATTGTAAAATGATTTATCACTTTATTCCAAAGAATGTTTATCTTCATAGTTTT